CAGGCGAGACTTGGGACTTGTATCAAGCCTTTTCCCTCATGGTCCAGACTTAGTTTTGGGAACTCTAGCTGCCAGTTTGCTGAGCTGTGTGCCTACTAATATCATGTGCCAGGCCACATAATAGATTGGTATATTTTAGGGATACACAGTCTATAGGCCTTGGCTGCATTATGTGGAAACTTCTGGATGGAGGGATGAAAGCCACATTTCTCTATGGCCCAGAAGGAATGTAGGGATGGGAGAACTGCCATCTGTGGACTTGTGCAAAATGTTTTCTTACCAGCAATTTAAGTGGAGGTCATGGGTTTGGAGGCCAAGGCTTGCAGAAATTGATACCTCTACTCTCACTAGTTATTCCTAATGGGAATGGAATAGTAGTTTAAACTTCCCTTTGACATGTGTTCACATATGTGATCCTGACTGCATGTTGCCCATACAATAAAGAAAGATTCTATACCCACTATAAGGACATGTGCTTGTCTTCCTTTAACTTCAGTACATTCTCATGAAGTGTATTCACAGTATTATCTGTAGGGGATACATTCCTGGATTTACCTTGGAAACATGAGAATCACGATAACAGCGAACCCTACTGAAATGAACACCTTCAGTGGACGCATAACATAGAATTGCACTGGGGGACATAGGAAATGCCTTGAGAAAACTTTTTTTCCAGATGTGGAAAGTGAAATTATGAGTAATGGTCTCATCTGATTTCATGTATATTTTATTTTTTTCCCATATATGACTCAAAGTGGCTTATACTATGCTAAAACATACATTAAAACCTCTACTTCAGAGCATCTCAACATTAGAGTGTTTTGACCTGGCTTTCACTTTGACATAAGAGCAGTATTTTGAATTAAGAGCTAGTGCGAAAGGGAGCGCTAGCACCAGATCCAGGGCTTTCAGGCTTCAAAAGAGCATAATTTTGTGCCTCATGCCACATGCTCTTGTCAGTTTTTGGAGATTGCAGTTTGCTTCACTCTTGTCCGCTAACTTTGGGTTAGTTGATTTTTGTGGTTTTTATTCCTGGTATATTTGGCTTCATGAAGAGAGAGGAAGAGAGAGCAAGGGAGGGGGGGAGGGCGGCAGAATGGGTACAGTATTAAGAAAATGATGCTTATGCCTTTTCACGTTGTACTTTGTGCTTCCTTGCCACAACTTTGTGCTTCTACCATTTTAAATTGTTCCATGTGAATGTGTCACAGTCACAGAATAACTTAAACTCTTAAGTCAAGGTATCGCTGAATAGTCAAACCACTCTGAAATGAAAAAGGCATCCTAGTCCACTTTAGAAATATGAATTTTAGACAGACAAAAACACATTACAACTTTTTTGCACATTAAGGAACAGCACACACCGTGTACAATCCCAACCAGATAGAAACTGAAAACGTGTAGATAAGAGGGTCTTTGCTGGGAGGGTGCCAATTGAGTCTCCCTTCAGCTTTCCATAGTCTGAGAGCATCTACCAAGAAGGACCTCCCCTGGATCTTACCAGGCATTCCTCTGATGGAAGTGGAATCGAATGGAAGACCTTCCCTGAAGAACTTGCGACTTCAGTAGGTTCATGTCGGGAGATAATGGTGTTTCAGATAGGCTGGAATTGCTCCAGTCACCTTCACCTGGAAATGTGGCTGTCCTTTTTGTTATTAGCTAGCTCAAGGACAAGAATGCAAAATGAAAAGTAAACAGCATGTTCAAATACTTTACAAAGTACAACAAAGAAATAATTGGGTGCCAAATGCTTCCAAAGAGACACAGCAAAGTTCTTTATGTGTGCACAGACCAATGTTTTCCACGTAAAAGCAGAGATAAGGCTTGTGTAAGAGCAACAACAAGTTGAAATAAGGATTGGAGCCACTGGTGCTCACACTTAACTTGAAATATTTTTAGAGCAAGGTCTTTCATGGTCTAAAATACAAGGGAGCAAAGGAAACACAGTTATGTTTTATGACATGTCTCCTTCTGTCAAGCCATCGAATTCTGATGACTCTAATTTTACATAAAATTGTTGAGGACTCTTATTGATTTTATTTATGACATATTTAGTAGCTCAAAATCTCCCCCCCCCCCTCCAAAAAACTGAGCTCAAATGGCTTGCTCAAATAGCCAGCTTTGACAAGCCCCTACACTACAACACTTTAGGAAAGAGTTAAAAACTTAATTTTCCCAGCAGGCATTTGATGGTTAGATAGTAACCAGAACTGATTGCCAATCACTAAGCATTTTGTGTCTACATTCTGTGCATTCAGCTCGGTTGCTATATTGATTACATGGATCTTTTAACTGATTCTATTTTTAATAGAGTTTGTTTTATCCAATTTATATACCTGGTTTATGTAATGTATTGTTGTTTTTGTGTTGATGTATTTTATGCTATCTATCATGTATTTTATATATGGCATCTCGGTGTATACTATTTTGTAAGCCGCCCCAAGTTGCTATGGGAAATGGCGGTGGGGTATCAATAAAGTTTCTTTTTTTAACTGACACAAAAACACAGTATGTCACAGCAAACAAGAGATATATGCTGGATTTCGTATTACAAAACCACAAGTTGTTGTTGTTGTTGTTATTATTATTATTATTATTATTATTTTGTGTAGCCACCGTCTCATGCTTTAAATCATGGATAAAACAAAAATGTTCTATATTTTGTCATGGTTTTTATCCTACTGTCTGAATGGTTCCATATTACATTTCTTTATTCTATTTTCATAACATACTTATATTTTACAACACAATGATTTTGAAACTTTTTTCAATTATATTTTATAAATGCTCTTCTATTACAAAAAAATAAAATCTGACATAATCTTACATAACCTTTTTATTTAAACAGGCATTTAAAGATGGAGGTATTTAAGTAATCTAGTCAGGAGGTGCTATGATTTTTAACTTTGAATATGTTTTGATGGTTTTTAACTTAAATGTTCAATTCTGTTTGTGTTTAACTCTGTTTTAATGTTTGTGTATTTGTATATTTTAAATTGGATATCAAGCCGCTTTGAGTCCCCTTTGAGGAGATAAAGTGGAGTTTAGATAATAATCATAATAATAATAACGAACATCAATGTAACTAAATGTAAGCAGACCAATATTAGACTGACTATAGTATAAGTATGTGGTGGCGCAGTGGGTTTAACTGCTAAGTTGCAGAACTTGCTGACCAGAAGGTCAGCAGTTTGAATCCACAGGACAGGGAGAGCTCCCATTGTTAGTCCCAGCTTCTGCCAACTTAGTTGTTCAAAAACATGCAAATGTGAGTAGATTAATAAGTAATGCTTTGGTGGGAACGTAGCAGCGTTCCATGCTGTCATACCCACCACATTACCATGGAGGCGTCTACGAACAACGGAGATGAGTACCACCCCCCAGAGTCAGACTCAACTAGACTTAATGTCAAGGGGAAACGTTTACTTTAGTATAAGTACAGGTATATATCAGTTAACGAAGAAGTTAATTTTACAAACCTTTTTACACCTGTCCAGAAATCTCTTTTTTCCTAAACATTTAACTAACTAGAACATTTTCAACAAGCCTGGGCACTGCAATGATGGTAGTGGAGGGCTGAAGAAACCCAAAATTTCAGTATCAAATTACTGCAGCATTGCTGCAATAAACAACACTATAAAAGATTGCACTGGAATTATATTCTAGGTCAGAAGTTCTTAATCTTTTTTGTTTCATTGACCTCTTTACCAGTCAGGTGAAAACCACAGACACTCAACTTCGGCACATCTTTAAATTAAGTTTTAGGGTTATTCAAAATTGCATTTTATCTTTCCAATAATTTGGATACCTTGTAACTGAACATAGTGCAATGTCTGTTAAAATGCTCGTTATAGCAAACATTTAGAAATTTGAGTTTTTCCACAGCATCATAAAACCATCTCTGCAGGCGATTCTTCATTGCTCCCAAAATATGCTACATTAAAACAGAAATCATACAAAATCCACACTATACTGTGTAGATTTTTTTCAATTCAAGCTCATGGACCCCTTGACATCTTTCCATGGACCCCCAAGGGGTCTATGGACCCGTGGTTAAGAACTCATTCTAGGTGATCTTACTATAGGTGATCCCTTTTCCGGGCAGTCCACAAACCCAAAGGACAATAAGAGTGTAAGAGGGAAAATCATTGCAACAGAACCAAAGAAAGGGATGGCAGAATGTCGTTAAGCATGGCCAATTGAAGTCAGAACATGGACCCTTTGAGAGATATTCCAGATATTTAGAGATATTCTGAATCTTCACCTCACAGTTTAAAAGTAAATTTTATCCTTTTTAACTAACATGTAAGATCAACTATTCAGGTGATATCCTTCCCAGCAGCTAAATAATATGATTAATTCTTTATTAAGTTAAGCAGCTCTTGACACATCTTCCCAAGAGCTGAGATGAATGAGACTAGCATTACACTACCTTTAATTTGCATTAGCTTATGATATTTCCTGGTACTTTAGCCATTTCTGGTTGTGTCAATGATAAGAACCTACCACTATTAGTGTCAATTGCCTTGATAAATCTTATAAGTATCAACTTAATAGAACAAAATTTTGTGAATAATTATTGAAATGCCTGTCGAGTATAGTACCTATGTAGGTTCATTGGCCAAAAATCTATAAAGCATTGTAGCTGAAGTGGTTGTTGGTTCTTTGAGAATTTGTTGATTTAATCTACTTTGATAACACCTATCACATTGAATATATTGCATGGTTCATGCAAAATACGCAATGTGAAGGAGGAAGGAGAAAGAAAGGTCATTTTATAGGAATTAGATTCTGTTTCCAAATGAATATTTTGCTTATCAAAACATACACCGTCATGACTGAGTAGATATGGGCCATTATCAGTTCTTTCTGGTGATGGATATATTTGAATGACCTTCAAGGAAAAGGCTATAAAATCAAAACAGTTACCTGGTCAGCTCTTTGGACACCAGTTTAAGAGCTTGCTTTTTTGGAGCTCCTAGTTTTCGAGTGGGGAAAGAATGGCAACACTTAATGAAAAGAAGACATGTAGCCAACGAATGGAAAATTTCCAGCGTTTCGTATGGAATCCGGACACGGGACAGTTAATGGGAAGAACCTTGATTAACTGGGGTATGTGTTCATAAGAGAAACTTAAAGATAATGCAGTCTGGAGGTCTGGATATATTGCTGAAATTTGAATTTGACAATTTTTTAGAATTATGATTTTGGGTCATCATCAAGTTAATTCCCTATTTCTTGTACTGTAAAACTTTGTTAAAGCTACAAATTACTCTATAGAACAGTGGTTCCCAACCTTTTTTTGGACCAAAGACCACTTTGACCAGGCACCACTTTCCAACATTAGTAGCAAAATGATTACAAATCAGTTTTTGGTCAAATCAGTTTAGATTTTGTTTGTTTATTTGGAGTGCTGATTCAGAAAATTGCATTGGACAGACCACATCAGCTTTAGTTTCTGATACAGAACATATGCCATCCAGTAGTTGCCATCTGCTCACCCACAGAAAACCATATTTAATAATCTAGAGCTGATGTGGTAGTAGTAATATTTCACGGATAGCCAGCCTCTCCTCTCCTGACATCCCCATTGTCGTGTGGTTTCAAGGCAACAGTGTAGTAATGGTGAGGCTGTGGACCATATTTTCATTCTTGCGGACCACAGCTTTGGAACCACTGCTATAGAAGCTACTCTGAAAATCCATTGGCCTAAATCCAATATCTAGTCCTATAGTAGACACATTGTATCAACTACTGAATGATATGACAACACATGAAAACCACATTGGTTTTCTGGGACTACAACTAGCATCGTATTTAGGCCATTGCTTTTATTGTCTTAGCATCTAAGCAGGCATAATTATTTAATAATAGCATACATGATTGCCTGTAAAATATGAATAGAACAAAAGTATTACTAAAAGGACCCAGAACTGCTAGTCTGTGGCAACAGTAGCATTAAGAAGATCCTTCAGGTTGGACACAATGACATGCCTGAAGTAGTTTATTTGACCTATTCATTGCCTTCGAAAAGATGTAATTGAATGCAAGTATTTTAATCCCTAAATGATCATTCACAAAAAATATTTTGATAATCATTTTGTGAAGTTTCAATATGTTGTTTTTATATTAGACTTAATATGCAGGTTTTTTTCTTACTTTACAAAAATAATTTCAAAATCAAAACATTTTAATGTCAGCTGAAATCCCCCTCCTTTCCCATTTAATTTTAACCACGGTGGCACACTCTTTCACTCTATTTTTGAGATTACAGAACATGTTCTGATCTGAAAAACCTTGGGACCCTCCATTTTTTATTAGAAAATGGCTATAGGAATTAACTTTCTATATTTGGTTATGCTTTTATGTCCCAGTTCTGCATGTCCTGTTCAAATTCTAGAATGCTTAACTAGAAGAATGAGATGTTCCTCTACTAAAACACTTTTAAAACACTAATACAACCTAGACTATTTGTTCTTCAGCCGTTCTTAACATAGATGTCAGTGTTGTATTAATTAGGTATTTAAAGATAGGATTATAGAGTACTAAAAAGTAACCAATATCCTGATTTTTTGGATGTTTTTAACCACATTTATTTCTAATGTTTTCTTAATAGTATGGATCAGTCTTTACTATGTTGCGTTCTATGTGGTGGTGACTGGGCTGTTCGCACTGTGTATATATTCTTTAATGAAGACACTCAATCCATATACACCGGACTATCAAGATCGATTAAAATCACCAGGTACTATTCTGTGCATTCGATTAAAGCTGTAGAATCCACAAAACACAAAATATTGCCTGGCACTCACGTGTTGCAGTTGCGGATTTGTAACCTGGGGTTATGGATCCTTCATATACAAGCAAGACTGTAAGACTTTGTGTAAGTCTTACTGTAAGACTTTGCAAGACTGTAAGACTTACTGTAAGACTTTGTGACACCCCCTGCCCAGACCATCTTAACAGTTGGAACTTTATTTATACATATGTAACTAAGTAACCAATGTAGAATATTGACAACTATTCTTAGAATTTGAGATCTAATATATCAAACCCGTTCTGATTTTGCTCCTTGTTTTAGAGTATTTTCGACAAAGATGTTATTTACAAGAATATAAGATTGTATTTTATGACCAACTACCTTGAGACAGAAGCCATTGTATGGAAATGGAGATGAACCCTCATATTTAATCTACAGCTTTAATTTTTTGATATTAAACTAGGAATGTATCTGAATGTGTTCTATCAAGTAACAGAAGTGCAAATACAGATTTCTAATAACTATTACTAACATTATTATTTTCTTCTTCACATTTTGAATTTTAACTGCTTTGAATGAAGGGGTGACGTTACGACCAGATGTGTATGGTGAAAAAGGATTGGAGATTTATTACAATATTTCAGAAGAACACTCTTGGGAAGGTTTTGTTAAGACTCTTCAAAAGTTTCTTTCAGGTAAAGAGAAGAAAGATAGTATGGTTAACAAGAGGTAAAGCTATTATTTCAAACAGACTTCAAAAGTATAATCAAATCATATTGAAGCCGATTCAGATTTCAAATGGCTGCTAGCAATTATGTCGAAATGACACATATTTTGAGACGATTTATGATTCTTCAAGAAAATAACTTTTACTACAGTGTTTTGCTAAACAGTATCTAGATAAATCAGGATCCTGGAATCTTTAGAGACAATAGTATTATAACAGGGTGACCTAATTCCATTAACAAAAATACGGCAATTAAAACATGAATTTAAAGTGTAATTTGTTAATACAAATTAGAACTGAATTATGGATAATACTGAATTCCAAAAGTGGATTTTAAAATTTACTAAATTACTAAATTGCAATTTAGTATACAATGTACTATTTTCAGACTAAGCTTTAGTATCAACTCAAGGCCCTTCCACACAGCCATATAATCCAGAATATCAAGGCAGAAAATCCCACAATATCAGCTTTGAACTGGGTTGTCTGAGTTTACACTACCATATATCCTAGTTCAAAGCAGAAAATGTGGGATTTTATTCAATTGTGTGAAAGGGGCCTAAGTTCATTGCCATCACCAAAGTTAAATTAATGTGTTCCAGCAAAAGTTGTATTGGGTTTAAGCACCTTTGGGCTGCAATTAGTAGTCCTTTTACTTTATTAATAATGTGTTTTAATCTAGTGGCACAAGTGTGGCCTTACAGCTTACTGGCTCCATAGTTTGAATCTTGAATTGTGCACTTGACTAATATGTTTAGAATAATAACAACACCACTATCTTATAAGGGGGTTTGTCCTAGAGACATAAATGGCAGGAACTTACAGATAAACGAAAGTGTGCTTTACTAAGCTTCAACGTGTTTTGAATTAGAATTATTCTTCGGAAGCAGCATAACTGCCAACCTGGATCTTTTGTCTCCAAATTCTACTGCAAAATCTACTGAACTGTTCAGCAACATTGATTGGTTGTACCCAAAGAATCCCTGAAAAGTAATCTCCATCCTTTTCTGTAAATACATGTAGGTTACAATGAAACTGCACAGCAAGCCAATATCAATTGTTCTTGGGAAGGATACTACTTCCAAAAGAATTTTGATGCTCCAAACCATACAAAACATTCTTGCAAATTTACACAAGAGATGCTCGGAAACTGTTCTGGTCTTATGGATCCCACTTTTGGTTTTTCAGAAGGAAGTCCATGTTTAATAATAAAAATGAACAGAGTAAGTACAAAACAGATATTTGAAAACATTGTTTATTAGCTAACATAACAGGTAAAACTATTTGTTAGGGGATGTTGTTGAAAGACAATTTGGAATGTATTCTTTGTGCATTCAGGGATCTGGAATTGATGAGTTTCTGCAGAAGTGGGGAAGCCCTACTGATTCTTATTTTACTAAATCTCCCATCCAACAACACCAGCATGCCAGAAATGGCAAATGTGAATGGGAATACATTTTTCTATAGTTAAAATAACTACTAGGCTAGTAAATGCAGGTATAGCAGAATAAAATGGTTCAATATCTATATATCCATCTATATAAATAAAAAGCTCCAGGTGCGAATGGCACCTACCAGTATATATCACCTAAATATAATTTTTCTCAGCCACTGTTTGCCTAATTTTATCTATCAACCTGAAGTTAATTCAAAGTAATTACATATATCAGCAGATCCGAAGTCACAAAAGTTTTCACCATTTTAATGATTAAATTGTTTCATTACAGATTATCAATTTTCTTCCGGGCAATGGCACAGAACCAAGAGTAAACTGCACAACACTGGTAAAGTATTATGTTCTTGTACTGCAGTTAGTCCTACTAGAGGTCAAAGGCTCCTTTGCAGAATATTGCAATGAGACATTTCTATAAGTAATGTCCTTCTGTCCCTACCTCAAAAACTTAAGGGCCCTTCCATACAACCATATAATCCAGAATATCAAGGCAGATAATTCACAATATCTGCTTTGAACTGGGTTATCTGAGTCCACACTGCCATATAACTACTTCAATGTGGATTTTATACAGCTGTGTAGAAGGGCCCTATTTTTTATGGAACAAACAATATGGAGCAGGAAAAGCCTTAACCCATTCTCTATTGTGAAATCATTACCTAAGCTTATCTTCCCTCCACACTTTTTCAAAATTTATTTCAAAGGTAAGTCAGCAAAACTATCAACAAGTTTTTTTTTCAAAGACAGCTTTTGGTGAGATTTGAAAACCCAGAATGAAATACCTGCATTTCCGTATTTTGCAGATATAGTTGGAAATATGCAACATGTATTGTCGAAGGCTTTCATGGCTGGAATCACTCAGTTCTTGTGGGTTTCTTCGGGCTATATGGCCATGTTCTAGAGGCATTTCTCCTGACGTTTCGCCTGCATCTATGGCAAGCATCCTCAGCTTGCCATAGATGCAGGCGAAACGTCAGGAGAAATGCCTCTAGAACATGGCCATATAGCCCGAAGAAACCCACAAGAACTGAATATGCAACATGTCTATTATTCATGTGCCATTTTGTTAGTTTATTAGATGAAATGCCAAACTAACCTTTAGTCAAAATCAGTGATAATTTATTTCCAGACAGTTCATTAGGCTTAGATGCAAGCTGTAACAACATTAGCAAGTTATGTGGATTACAAGTTCAAATGCTGCAGGAGTTTAACACTAGATGTTGTTGTCTAGTATGCTATGAGCGTTGACACATGTCCTACTTGTGACCAACAGAATGATGAAAGCCCACTAGATGTACAATATTATCCTAGAAATGGAACTTTTAAACTTCACTATTTCCCCTACTATGGATGTAAGGCACAGGTATGTCTTTTGTCTCTACATTTTTCCTTTTAAAGTTGTAAGTCAGTGGAAGGGCAACATGAAGTCTGTGGTTGCAAACATCTGCTGGTAACCTTCTTTAAAATGCAATAGCATATAGCAGCAAAAAAGGAGCATTTTCTACCCCAAAACATGTTTTTAATAGCACACACCTTGTTTTCAGGATGCATGATAGATGGAAAACAGGACAGGAGCCTTACACATTGTTTTAATGGGGAAATCTGGCTTTTTCCAAAACCAAATGTTATCCTTGCAGGTCGGGGTACCCAGTGGGTTGTGGGAGGCATGGACCCTGGAGTTTATCCACTGTTTTTAATAACAGCACAACTAATTTCATATCGTTATTTTCATCCCAGCCAAGCTACAGTAATCCATTGGTAGCAGTGAAGCTTCTCAACGTTCCCATAAACAAAGAAATACACGCCGTGTGCAGAGTGGTTGGTACAGGAATTACTTCAGATAATCCTCATGACCCATATGAAGGAAAAGTGGAATTCAAAGTTTGCATAAAAGCTTAAGCAGTAACAGCACTGATTAACTCCTTAAGAGTTAAGAACACTGGACAACACAATATTTATGTATCATGTAACTTTGTATTTATTTGTATGGATTTCTCATTGAAGTATCCATAGTTTAATACATTATACCTCTATGCTTTAAGGGCAATGAAAATAACAAACTTTTCTTTGATGATACTGTTCAATTGTATAAAGTTTACTTTCAGTGTCTATTTTAGAACTGTGCTTTATTATACAAGTTAACATGATTACAGTTGCCTACTTTAAGACACTCAGCAGAACACTAGATTTACTGAGCATCACCCAATAATGACATTATTTCATCAGACGTACTTAATATAAAACCATACAGACTGCAAAAAACAGGTTGAGTCGCCCTTATCCGAAATGGTTGGGACCAGAAGCATTTGGGATTTTTGAATACTCTTACTGGCATATAAGTACATGAGGTATCTTGGAAATGGGGCCCAAGCCTAAATGTCAAATTTATTTGTTTCATAAACACTTTAAACACCCTGCCTGAAGGTAATTTTACACACAGTATTTTAAGTAATTCTGCATGAAACTGAGCCACCAAAACAAGCAAAGGTGTCACCATTTCAGTCCCATGGAATTCTTGATAAGAGATGCTCAACCTGTAGTAAGTTGGTTACATGTAATATACTTTATTTGTAAGGGAGCCAGCTACCCTTGAGCTTGGAATATGTGATTTTTGAATGTAAAATGTGAGAACATTGCATAGTACCTACTTAGTATACTTTTAAAGATGATACTGCAATACTGATGGGCAATAAAGTTTTAAAGCACCTAGTTTTTCTTAAGAAAACGCTAACATGCTGGAATCTTTCATACTTAAAACATACTTCCACAAAATTTCATGAATAAAAATTCTAATAAAGTAACAACACATAGACCAAATATAGACAGTAATACAGATTGCCCTCAGTGGAAGGCTCATCTTCACAAGCTGTGTCTTTTAGCTAGCTCACAAACTCCAAGTGAGATATGTTCTAAATAAAAAGCACTGATAAAATGATTCCCATATAAACATGGAGAGCACATTCATCCCTATAAGGGGACACTTACATTACTTAGTCATTCCAATCCTTCACATGCTGTAAAAAAAACCCTTCAGAAAGTTAGCTGACCAAGACAAACAGCTGAAGCTGTTGGGAGGGAGAGATCAACAACCCACTTTTAAATTACTAAAGAAAGGAATTCAGATTTGTATAATACTACAACTCCTTTATTAGTTTCATTACAATTATTCATTTCCTTACACATTTTTTTGTAACTCCATGCATTTGCAGTGGCTCTCAGCCTGTGGGTCCCCAAATGTTTTGGCCTTCAACTCCCAGAAATCCTAACAGCTGGTAAGCTGTTTCTGTGAGTTGTAGGCCAAAACATCTGGGGACCCACAGGTTGAGAACCACTGGCCTAAGGATATAGAACACTATGTACCTACCATGAAGTGGGAACTGAATCTAACAAATTCAGCTTCTATGCTTAGGAAGGCAGGGTCAAATCTCAAGACCTCTGTTCTGTCTGAATAAGCTCTCTCCTTCCCACATGCAAAATGTTGTTTCAACAGCAAGTACAATTGAAATGATATTTTGTTTACTAGCATCTTACAGAAAGCAACTAACATCATTTCCGGTTGCTCCAAAATATCTTTTGAGGACTTAACATGCAAGTTGTGGAGGAGGTTAATAGCAGAGCTGCACATTCAGGACAAGGAAATTGGGCCTATTCCCTTATGATCAGAGAATTTTCCATTTTTCATTTAAAGTCAATAGAAGAACAGAGGTAAAAAGAAAAGTTATCTACCCTGATGCATACTTAGTAATTCTGTAGTCGGCCCTCTGCATCAAAAGATACTGAACCCATAGAGTCCAATCAACGTTGGCTTGAAAATATTCCCCACCTCCCAAATCCCAATTTTGTCATTTCATATAAGGGATTCAATTTTACTATGCCACTGTACATAATGGGGACTTGAGCAGCAATCAATTTTGGTAACCGGGGGGGGGGGGGGGGGGGGGGGGGGGGGGATATATTGAAATCAAACCATACTGGATACCAAGGGAACACTATAATTTTTACTTGTGGAATTGTAGAATAGTTCAACTCCTGATTTTTCCACATTTTGTTCTGTTACAATCTCATATTCAAATGGATTAAACTTCCATTGTTATCATGTGACCTACATAAGATACTATACACTGGGAATGCAGAAAATATGTTCATTGTGGTCCAAATGTTAAGTAAATAAAATCAAACAAGACAACACTTATTGACTGCTAAGTATTCAATCCCTTTGCTGATAGTCCTAAATGAACTCTAGTGAACTCATTGCTCCGAAGTTATATGAATTATGGAAAAGAGTCTGCTTATGGGAAATTCCAGTGTCACACTAAATACACTTTCTTATGAAGGCCCAAGTTCGCAACATAGCATATCTAAACAAACAACATAAACAAGATCAAGGAGCTATCAAAATGGATGCCGGAAATATTTGTGAAAGTACTAACCAGGGTTGTGTCATTAAAAAAAAATATTCCAGCAATGAACCTTCTCTAGAACATTAATTCATTGTAAAACAGAAAAATATGGCTCAATCAGGACTCTGCCTGAGGAAAGAAACTAAAATGCCAATGGTAATTCTGAAAGACATGGAGGAATATTAAAAATATTTTCAAGCCATGGAGAGTAGAATCCATGGTTGAGGAATTCATGAATATGGAGGGCTGATCATACTCAAGCCAATCTGGAGTTTGCAAAAAGGCATGGTGGGGGCTCTCCAATCTGATGAGTCCAAAGCTGAATGCAATATGTGTTTTGGGGATATTTCTCAGCAGACTGGAAAACTGGTCAGCATCAGATGAAATATCAAGGAACCTAAATAGTCAAACTAATGTTTTAGAATGACCCCCACCACAGCCCCCTATCTCAATCTGACTGACACTCTGCACACACAAAAACACCCTGAAAATTGCTCTTCGTCAATGGTTCTGAACTATCCTGGCAGAGTTGGGCAATTTTCTCATCACAAAAGTACAAAAATGGCACAAAGCTGACAGAGACTTGCCCAAGAAGACGTCAGCTGTAACTGTCACCAAACATACTTCTGTCAAGTGTTGACTTGGGTGTGAATATTTATGAATACCAGTTTGTTTTTGTTTGCTTAACATTTGCATCACAACAAAATATTTTGCACTTTCAGATATGGGGTATATTGTGCTTATCAACTGTTTACAATTTAATTTATTACAAATCCAGATTGTAACACAACAAATCCCGGAAAGGAGGATAAATATTTCTGCAAAGCAGTGTAGAAAGCACACCCTGATCTTCTGCTTTGAAGTATTCTCTGTAAACAGAAGGAGTAGCTTGTTTTCTCTTTGACCTACCCTCTAGTTGCTTTCAGCTTCTTCCTTTCAACAGGGTTCCACTGGATTTTACAGCCAGAAAATCACCCAATATTAAGTACCCTATACACTCATGTATAAGTCTAGACATTATACTAAAAAATTACCCCAAAAAACTGGGTTGACATATCTTTGGGGCAATATGAGTAATGTACCTTTAACCCTTCATCAAAAAAGGAAGCATCCTTTTGTTGTGGCAGAATCAAGAAATGCAAGAGTTTAGTTCATCCTAGGAGAACCTAAAAGGAGCACCAAGCCCCTACTATAGTGGAACTTCAGAACTTTTTGAATGCCAAGGTGGGGAAATGGCAATGATAGGTCTGGCAAACCTCCTGAGGCAGCAGTATTGTTCCCCCTCCCTCCTGAAGAATAACCCTTGACTTATCTATATGTCATATAAAAATCAGTAATTTGATCCCCAAACCTTCCATTGACTTATATATGAAGTCAACGTATACATGAGTATACATGGTACATAAAATAACAAAATCCTTCCCTACACCTAACACTCTAATCCCTAACGTGTAGTGAAGAGTGAATTGAGAGGAAATAAGAGGAACAAGGACAAATTGTAAGATAAAGCTAAAGTAAAAAGACAAGCACAAAACAAAATTGAACCCTCTTGAGCAAGCAAAGTCACTGCTCTGTTTGTAAAGGTAGAATATCCAATAGAATGGGATTTCCTTTTCCCAGGACAGAAAGAAAAATCTGAGTTTTGACCTTGCTTTTTGGAGCCAAGGAGGAGCTAATCCAATGATATTTGTTCCAGCTGACTCTCATAATTTAAATTTGAATATTCATGTCTATGTACTTACCACCAATTTAAAGAACTCTTCCAAAATGAAGAGTCTTGACAAGATCAAACGCAACAAAGCAGAAATGAAAGTAGTCTTGATTACAGAAACAAAGAACTTGTCAAAAATGCCCACGCGCGTTTTTATTAATAAAACTAATAGTGCCACAATTAAACAAGTAAAACAAACTGCTTATATTCCATAAAATATTACAGAAAAGTTTATTTGTGTTTCAATAAAAAGACTACTGTCTTAGAACAGGCAGCTGACAGTATTTGTGCAGTTAATTCTTTGTGAATAAATTTAAAAAGACTACCACCTGCCCTGAAATTTTTTTTATAAAAAAGGAAGTATTAAAAGTGATTGACAAATTCTGAGTTAAACATAAAACATTCTCTATATTTAATTTCAACTTTATAATAGATTACTGGAAGATGCTTAAGAAACAAATATAAACATTTGTTTCAGTACATGTCTTTTATATGATAGACTTATAGGTATGTAAACAACTATATAACAAATTGTTTTCAAAATCCACCTGTAAGAAATCAGGCAAATTTTCATCATAAGCAAACTCATTCCAAACCTTCAAGACATTTACACAGCTGCGCCAACTTGGCAGTAAACATTTGCCAAAAATTGAAATTCATATGTCCTAACATTCAGCAAACACAATATATAAATTTGATGGGATTACAATGATCAGTATAATTTTAAAAAGGGGGCAAATTCACACATTTTCTGCAAACTAGCATTTAAAAAGAGGCTATTTTGTTTG